GGCTCAGCCTTCCCTCCTGAGGACAAAGCTCAGATTGCTCCCTTGTCTCCCCTGACCTTGTGCCCTCACTAGTTGGCTAAGAGGTACCCCAGCCGTCTCTCACACCGCAAACCACTACCTGCCTGCACCATCCTGACCTGGCTAGCCTGACCTCTCCCTTCCCTGACACTTTCTACGCATGGCTCAATAAAGGGTGTATTTAGCAGCCACCCACCAATCCTGCTGCCCAGAGAAATTTTTAAGTGGAAAACTTGAGAAGAGGAAGCACGACTGCTCCAGTCAAAGCCACAGAAGCACCATTTCCCTATCAGTAACTCGGCAACAAGCCAGCGGCGGCGCCTTCGCGGCTCTGTCTCCAACATTTTTTTTGGAGCGGCTGGTGGTCAAGAAGCCTGCGCCTTTCCACTGCCCCCGGCCCGGGAACAACACCGACCCTGATCTTGCACGGGAGAAGCGCTCTGCCTGCCCAGCACCTCACCCGGGCCGGGGTTACGCAACCGGAGGAGTATTATTGCACACTGGGACTTGTAGTCTCGGGGGATCTCATCTTTCTCTGCACTGAATCACACTCCAGGCAGCCTCCTCTCGGCACCCGGTCTCCCGTTGCTGTTCAGCACATCAGTTCCCCAACCTTTTGCTGCACGAGTTGCGCTCCAGAACTTTGCTCCCGAGCCAGCTGTGCTCTCAGGGCTGCCCCTTCACTTCTGCCTGCTGGCGGACATGAAGTCGGGCCCTCACTTTCCCGGCAGCCACCCGGCCGCCGGGAACGGGGTGGCGGCGTTGGGAGCGCTGCCGGGCAGGACAGGGGCCAACAGTGCAGCTGCCGCTGCCTCCAGCAGCCTTAGCAGGGCTCAGATCGTGCCTGGGCTAGGGGCAAGCAGCACAAACCCCGACGGCTGCCTCCCGCGTAGGGGCGGGGTGAAGGAGCAGGGCACCGAGCTGTGGGGATACTTCAAGTCTTTTAACAGAGCAGTGCAACACCTGGCAGTTGTACGAGTGAGGGTAACTGCCGGAAACATTACTTCACAGGGATCCTTACAGACCAAGTCTTCTGAGTATGCTCAGATTCAATTTAAAAATTGAATCTAAAAGCAGCTTTGTTTCACAAGTTTCAATGCCAAATTTACTTTAAAGCCAGGGCTTATCTTTCCATAGGGTTTTCTTCCACTAGGAAGCTTCACACCAATGAGGAAAACACCAGCTCCACAGTAGCACATCTACTAACACACGCTAAACGCCAATACTTATTTCTATTCTGTCTCAGCGGTGGTAGAGTTCTTGATGTAAACAGGAACAGAAGAGGTATGTAAATCCAAAGTACAGTGATGTCTGTCTAGCCTCCTCTGGAAAACAGTGAGTCAGACCCATGGGAAAGAAGTCCAAACCTAGAAAAAGTATATGCTGGGACAAACCTGAAGGCCAGTGTTGTGAATACTGCTCCTCCCCAACAGCCGCTGGCAGTATGACTGTCTTTTATGTAATTTAAGTTACCAAGTTCAAGAGACTTACTGATAAAAATATGTATCACAGCACATGGTACCTGTCAGCTGATTCGTATCTCCCTCGCATTCGAACACTTGCCCTATTTTTTCTTGGTAACACAGGAAACCTCATTATTGCAAAATCCAAATAATGTTCAAAGATATTTTTTGGTTTTCCAGTCCATTTCTATTTACAGTCTAGTGAAAACTGTTTAAAGTGCAATTCTGTCTTTCCAGTCAACATTCTTTCCATTCCAGTCCCACTTCCTGCAGTTTCCTCGGGTGGCTTTTGCTTTGCAGTGCAATTGTCAGAATTAAGATGCAACGCTCTCAGTAGAAACTGGGTTTGCAAACACAGTTTAAAACACAGCATCCCCCAAACAACTATCTGAAGGCAGCAGGAAAAACTGAGTTTGCCATCAGCTGACAGCACTCCAAGAAGCTGAAGGAAGGATCACTTGGGGATCAGAGGGCAGTAGTGCTGACATCAAGGCACTTGCCAATTAAACAATGGTTTACAAAGTTAATCATCTAAAGGTTTCAGTGAGTATTTTGGACACAGCGCAGAAAAACAGAGCTGTAAATAGAAATACAAGGTAGAGAGGTGGGCTGGATACAGAAGGGCCATGGGCAGCACAACGATTTAAATACGTGAATGAAGACATGTAAGGGCTGAGAGGATGCAACCTGGAAGCAGTGGAAGGTGAAGAAAGGAAGTGAAAACATTCCAGGAATGGTGGAAATGGACTAAGGGAAGCTGGATTTATTAATGGGACTTTCCTAGTATGTGCATTACTCTTCCAATATGCAATACTTAGACCTTTGCTCAAGCAATCCAAATGAACTCCAAGTTTTTGAACCCTTTATCAAGCTCATAAAAGTCTCTTGGAATCCTCGTCATAGGGAAGGCATTGGTGCCTCACACAGCTGCAGGGGCACTGTGTGGATCTTGTCACAAGACAAAGTAGAAAACATCAGGAGGGAAGTATACGTGGTTGTTGATATCCATGGCAAGCATTAGCCCTGGAAGAACCTAGGATCTCTCATGCCCTCTGCAAGTCCAAATCCTGTCAGTGGAAATGAGGATTTCTTTCTCATCAGACAGAAAATGCTTCTTTCTCCCAAGCCAGGTTGTCACCAAGATCTGGGTTCTGGCTGCATGCTGAGATGCTGCTGGGCACCTGCTCCTCAGCTCTATTCTCTGCCCTCAGTGCTGGCAGTGTGTGAGCACACCCAAACGTAACACCAGAAGTTTTACAGCCGACACTGAACTATTACCAGAAGCAAGAGCAATCTAGCTGTTGCAGTTCTGCTTTGTCTATGATGGGAACCATTTCTGCTTAGCCCCTTGATGGCCAGCCTCCACTGCAGCTCCCCCACGTGCTGACCATTTGTTAGGGCAGGTCTGCTCCCTGCAGACAGAGCACACTCTTGGAGGATCCTGGTACATGGAACTGGGGGACTGGCAGCTGGGCACACCACCTTGACAACTAAACTCCACTCTTCCCAAAGCTCTGAGCTGCAGAACCATAACAGAACAGTAGTGCAACACTGGAGCATTCATTTACAGGATGTATTTATTACACTGTAAAAAGTCCGTTGGATTTGTAGCCATTTACTCTGTATGTACACTGGTTATATTTCCACCCCAACCATAGGTTCCTCTCCAAACAGTATACACAGGGTTGGGGTCCCGCCCATAGCCCTCCCAGTCACCAGTGGGATTTCAAGATTGGTATTATTGAGAATTTAGCCAACTAATGGAGAGAGGAGGAAGAATGGAGATACAGCACTTGCCAGGCACCAGCTCTGCTCTGGGCACCAGGAGTGGAAGAGTTTTCCTTGCTGCAGGGCAGAAGCACTAGAATGACTATCAGAGCCTCAGCTGCAGGGGCATTCTAGGTAGAGAAAGTGGTGAGCTCCCAACAACTAGAAGATGCAGAAGGGTGCAATCTCTGCAGAACTTCCACGAAAAAACACTGCAGACTTGCTGGGAATCTGTGAGCAGGTGCCACAGATCCACACATCTTCTCTAGCTGAAGAGGAAGCTCTCCTAAGGAATGGGGCTGGACACCAAGAGGCCTATGCAGCAGCAAGTGGTGGACAACTCAGCACTGCTGTGCACCCCAGGGGAGTGGATTCTCAGGCACTGTTTGAGAGATAGCCACAGTGCTCTGCTCTCAGCTCACAGGACTCTGCATTTCCTTCTCATGTGCTCAACTAGCCAGAGCTTTCTGAATTCACTCTCTCCAGCCAGAAAAGCTGATTACATTTACAGCAGAGAGGAAAACAGTGCTGTCCCTACCAGGCTCCCCAGCTACCTACTCCCTATCTGGCATGGGGATTGCTGTTATCCATGTTGCAGAAGGAAAGCATGTGGCTACAGCAGACAAGAAGCCCTATGTAGCAAGCTGGGAGCTGCACTCTAAGCAATCCACATTTCTACACAAAATTCTCAACCTGCTAAACCCAGGCATGCACAGAGCCCAAACAAAGCAGTGCGACCAGAAGCATGGGCAGGAAAGCTAGGGAGTGGCTGGGGAAAGGTCCAGGGACTGGACTGAATAATCTGAGAGGCAGTCCTGTACTGCAGCCCCTCTCTGGTGTGACATCAAAGAGTTTTCCCTCTTCACCAGATGAAATGGTGGCAGCTTGGTCTCAGGCTGCTGAGGGCAGGTGCTGCCTGGCCCCTGATGTTGTGAAGACAGGAAGAAGACTGATAGTGGAACTGGGCACCCCTCCAAGACAAGGATTTCTAGGCAGATTTTTAGGTGGTTGCCACAGGAAGGGAGCAGAATGTGATGTGCTCCAGGGGGATTTGTGGCAGCAGCCCTTCTGCTCAGGTTAGCATCAGCTTCTAAAACAAACATGCCCGCTACCAGAGAACATTTGGCCAGCATCCTCCACCCACAGAGCTTCCTCAGCAGACAGTTCTCAGACATCCTCGAACTAGTTGACTTCAGAGGTTGTCATTGGATCAGCAGGCCGTGGAGTAGCTAAGAGGGGAACAGGAGAGGTGGCTTCAATTAGGGCTGGGTTGAGAATGATTGGAAGAGTCATAGGTGGCACCCCAACCTGCAGGGGAGAGGCAAGAGGCTGCAGGATCAGTGGCGGCTGTGCTGTCGTAGGAGGTATGTCTGTAACGGGGCTTGTCTTTGCTGGAGCTGATGCTGGGAAAGAAGGAGAGGCAGAGCTGCTGATGGTGGGTGAAGCAGGTGCAGTGGCTCTTTCAGACTCTGAAAAAATGAAGAGACAAAATACACCCTTACACAGCCCTTGACAAAGTCACCTTGCAGCTCAAAGCTAAGCAGGGCTGAAGATCAACTCAGGGTCCTTTTCAGACTTGCCCCTTCCACATACCTTCACACAAGGCCCTGAGGAGCAGGTGCTGATCACAGGCATTCTGCCCCAACTTCTGCCCACCCCAATAACCTCAGCAAGAAGGCCACAACCTATCCATTTGGAAGCACAACAGTTCCACAACACCAGAGGCCTGGTCACTGGAGATTATGCTAAACCAAGTAAAAGCAGATCTATGCCACCATGCTAGGAAGATGATTCCAGAAAGAAGAAAAGGGGACTCACCACTGGTACCCAGTTCACTGGGCTTCTCCAAAGGAGTTAAGTGGGTGGCTGGTCTCACATCCCCTGTAGGAGAAGGGGGCAGGGCAGACACTAGTGACTTCTGATGCTGCTGCTCCATTGGTATACTGGGAACAGGATCTAGGAAAACAAAACAAGCAGTGAGCCCACACACGAGTTTGCTCACTCATTTTGCCCACCCTCAGTTTGCTATCCTTGTGCCAAGCTCCCACAGCCTCCTGCAAATATCATTTCATCAGCATCCAGACACTCTGGCAGCTGCATACTCGACTAGGTGCAAGCACTGAGTCCAATACCTGTTTTCTTAAGGTTTCTCAGCTCTTTGTACCTTGGATGACTGTCTGTTTGAAAAGCTCATCCCGCAGCCTAGGTAAGAAACAGTCAATCCTTTCCCAGGTGATCTCCCAGAGATCTGAGTATCCTGTCCGTGAGTCAGCACTGTGGAATATCCCAGCCGTATCCATTACAAGCAGCATATTCTTCAAAGACTCTGGGATAGCCTCCAGCTGTAATCAGAGACACTCCTCAAGTCACAGAGAATGGACATACAGCAACAAAAAGCTCAAAACAGCTGATGGGCTGCCTTGGAAACAGAGGCCAAGGGGAGAAACCATGGAACAAAATGTTTTTGGAAGGATTAAAAGATTAAAAAAAAACCCCAAACCAACCAAAACACCTTCAAGTTTAGAAACTGATGAATGGTTGCTCAAAGCACTGTACCATCACTTTCAGCATCTTACCAGTAAGTCACTGGAGCCAGCATGCATGTATTTGTCCATAAAGTCCAGGATTGTCAGCCACAGGGCAGCAAAGGTGGTCAATGAGAGCAGCGGGGAGAGATGTTGTAGGAACACCTAGAAAAAAAACCAAACACGTAACTACTGCCAACAAGTAGTTTCAGGGCTGCTGTTCACAGCTCGGCAAGCCAGTCATGCAAATCTGGAATTCCCTCTCCTTGTGGCAGGCCAGGAGCACACACAGGGCCAGCATAAGGATGTCAGAGGACTCCACTCTTCCAAACTGCATGTGTAAAAGAATGGATGTTGTCTCCTTTGCATGAGGCCACTGCAGTCTGCACCACCATGCCTTCCAGCTCTTCCAGACTCTCTGCCTTAGGTCAGTACTATCAGCTTGTGACATACATTATTTCACCACTAGAACAGACTGTCTTCAACTAATGTTGAGTGAAATACTTAATAAAGTCACAAACTCCTTCCTGACAACTCTTCCAATGGCCAGGATCATGGGGACAGTTCTTGAAAAAAAGTCATATCCCAACAGCAGAAGGTGGTGAAGCCCAGCACAGAAGACAGTCAAACTACCAAACTGACACCTATCCAGTTCAGAGATACTGAAAAGCTAATAGAGCAACTCTGTTTGTCTTGAGGCACATGGTTTCCTCTGAGCTTTCAGGCAGCAGAAGCACACTCACCTTGGAGAGCAGCGTTGAGGCTCTCATCCGAGTTTCTTCCATCCCACCAACATCGGCTGGGCTGATGTTCTCAAGTAGCTTGGTTAGCAGAGGGAACAGCACCTGTTGGGTCAGACAAGACACACTCGTGTTTCAGAGCTGATAAAATTACTGATGAGATTTGCACAGCCTTACAGGAAGAAGCTGGCTTTTGGGACTGGTGGCTTCTAGACAGAGAGCATGGGATAAGCAGTGGGAAGTGGAAATGAGTGGACTCATTTCAGTACTCCAAGAGGCTTTGTCAGAAGCCTAAGCAGAGAACTTTTCACAGGATCAGAGTAGCGAATGCCTTGTCTGTTGTGGTGAACAAGCTGCTCAGGAAGATGGTCCTGAAGTAGGACATCATTCTGCCACTCCTGCACCCAGCTTTGCTCTTCATGACAATGCTATTCTGCCTACACGCCCAGCCCAGCCAGGAGGTTACCTTGTTGAAGCAGGACTCCCATTCCAGGGCATCCAGGGCCTGCAGGTCATGTACCAGGAGGGCTCGCTGCAAGTAAGTGAGTGCCTGCATCCGTACCTGGCGTCGGGCATCACAGCACAGCCAGGCAATACCTGCAAGAGAGGGATTCAGGGCAAAGCCCACAGGGAAAGTGTCACATCCCTACGTCTGCAGTCTAGGGTGAAAAGTCTAATGAAGATCAAACACTCTGGGGGAGGAAAAAAAAAAAGATATATATATATATATA